GAACGGTGTCGGACAGAAACCTTAAATTTTATGAAAGAAAATAGCGTTTTTTTTTAAATTCGGATAAATATTTTTATATTAAAGCCAACTACCTATGGTTTTAGTGACAACGGTGTTTACACTTACACCTCTATGTAACTTAATTATCCTATAAATTATAAGCATCTTATTGTAAAAGTAAAACCTACAGCCTAAAAGCTTTCACTCCTAATTACTTTTTAAATATACTAAAGCTTTAAGTAGAGGTTTTGGTCACATTTTTAAATTTTTTGCACATTCTGTCCTCCATCAAGCACTGCTTAAAATTCTATTCGAATCCTATCGGATTATAGAACGCGTTTTAACGATTATTCTTTCTTTCTAAATCCTCATCGTTAATTGCTAATCTCGTTTAACACAATTATATAACAAAACTTGAAAATAATAGCATGGATTATAAGTTTTCTTCTAATACCTATTGAAACCAATTTTTAACTTTACCACTGGGTCGAAATAATCTCTGACCTGGTAGAAACATGCTGTCTATCGAAACCCAGCAGGACATGTTTTTAAAAGTAATAGATATAAAATGTGAAATTATGAATTTGCAATAATAGCCAATTATCTTAATATATTTCTTCTAGATAAGAGTACTCATACTGATTACTGATTGTACTGTAATGTAGGAAAGGTGTCAATGAAAGGGGACGTGTTACTCAGTTCGAGACTTTAATTATAGTGGTCATGCTCATTATTGTACACTTAACACAAATATATATAATTTCGTGGGGCTACACTACACCTTCCACCGACAAAAAATATAAAAAAGAAATTAATATACCTATGTTTTTTTAAGTAATAATAATAAATATAAAACTTATTTCTAATATGAATATAAATTTTAATTATGTTTTGATTCGTATTAGCCTAATAATGTTATAGGTTTAAAGAGTTTATTATCTCAAAAAAGAACAAAAATTCATTTATGTGAGACTTAAAAATAACATAATTGTTAAAAGTAATACATTTACATACGGTGACTTATATGTATAAAGTTACATAAATATATCCAAATTAGAATTAAAAAAGCACTGTCTTTAAATTAATGTTTGACAGTGTTTTTTTTTTAATTTATCTTTAAATGTTGAAAATGATTTTTCATGAAATACCTCATTCTATTGTATTGTACTGTCGCTATTGTACAATAGCGCTCCCTCAAACTGAATAGTTTTCGAACCATAGGTTTATTCCTAGCTTTTGGTAATTGCAGTTTACCAAAAGATAGTTTGTTTCGTGTACAGTGTTTATGTGATTTAGTTTTAAATGTGATTAAGTTATACTTCTAAGTACATACATTTACATAATATAACCCTATAAATATTTTTTCATAATATAGGTGAAGGTGTAATAATTGATCTTATCATTATGCGACTTATCTAGGATAATACTTTTTTCATATTAATTTTTTTTCTTTACACTTTTAGACATATTTATTTAATTCTCTTTTTTACACTTAATATATTTACTTTATTCTTCTTTAACCATTATTTATTTTTAATTTTATTTCATAGCACACGCCTCGCGTACATACATGATCAAGTGTTTCACCGTGAAACGCGCCGTCTCACACCCTCAGCGGTTGTCATGGTGAAAATTCACGAATTACGGTTTGAACTGCTAGACCATCCACCTTACTCACCAGATTTAGCCTCAAGTCACTTCTTTTTGTTCCCTCATCTAAAAATTGCGCTCGGAGGACAGAGATTTTCGTCAAATGAGCAAGTGATTCATGAGCAGCAAAATGTACCATACAAGATAGTTCCAAACAATTTTTTTGAATTACACAAAAGTTTAAACAGTTTCGTTGTTATATATACATAGTGATATTACATAGGTACATTCAAAATACATTGGCTCTTAAAAATTTGAAGTTGTTAAAAATATTATGATGTTAATTATATTGTATACCAAAATTATTAAAAACAAATCACTCAAACAGTTATCAAGTATTCGTATAACAAACAATTAATTTATTTAAATATTGAAAACAAAATAATTTTAATTTATTATAATATAACTTTAAGATTCATTGTGTTTAGAAAAGAAAAAAGATATAACAATAGCGAATTGTTTGTTGACCTTTGTCAAAATTGCGTACATTTGAATGAGATTTGCTACCACTGCTTACTGTGTTAAAACTACAAAATATGAAAAAATTATTGACATGGTAAATTTAAGTATATAAAAATATAATCTGTCATATTATTTTTTTCCAGGATACAGTAATAAAAATAATATAAAACAATAACCGGAAAAATTGATTTAAAATTATCTTGTGCCTGAATACAAATGCCACCTAAGTGCTTAAAATGTAACTTAATTTTTAATATTATATTATAATTGCATTTTTTTAGAAAAATATGTAGTTATAAAAATATTGCAATATCAATTAAATCGTAAATTATCTGATAAATAATTTCAACTTAATCATATTTTGTATTTTGTTAAATACAGAACATTTAATACATAACTTTTTTAAAAAACTAAATAGCAAAAACAACATTAAAAAAATTAAATTATTAAACTTTTAAATGGAATTAAAAATAACACTGGTGCAGTTACCTCTTAATTTTTTCTCTGTTCTTTTTGGATCAATTTTCATATTCTTCTGGCCGAATCTCGCAAGAATACAACCGCTACTTTCCTTTTTAAATTAATCTGCCAGTATAAATTTTTCAGTCAGCTTCTAAAAAATTAGTATTGTGGCCTCATCACGTCTTTGTCATATTATAGTTTTCTTGTTCTGTCTGATTACGTCAATTCGTCATTGAAATAAATTATTTTGCCATTGTTATTTTATCTGAACAATTTTGCTGGCTTCGGCGGTGCGCTTGCATTGACGCAGCGCACCTCTGGCAGGGTCGCCATGTAATGTAGGAAAGGTGTCAATGAAAGGGAACGTATTACTCAGTTCAAGACTTTAATGATACTGCTCAGTGCTCATTATTATATATTTAATACAAATAGTATATATAATGTCGTGGGGGCTACACTACATTACCTATGTTACGCTTATAATCCGAACCACAAAAGCGTGCAAAAGCAATATTAGTTCATGTTTATTAGTTGTTAACAGCCATTCATTATTTATTAATTTTATACCGCGAAAATATTACTTTTATTTAGAACGGAACAAATTGCTATTATTATTAATATTTTTGGCTTCGATGCTTGTCCTTTAAGCCAGGTTTTTATTTCATGATCTCGGGATCTTCATTTTTATAGATTTTTTCTTCACAATATGCTGATGCGTCATATTACGAAGTATTTGAAGATTTTGGCGACAGCTCAACCCAGCGGACAGTCGACGACGATAGGGCGCCTAAGCTATCAAAATAATTTGAGGTTTATATCACCATCGAAACACTTATTTCGTTGATTTCTCTATTAGCTCATATGCACAGACAATACACAAAATCGCATCACTTTTACGTACCAAAATCCACTTCAAACCATTAAACGATAACTGCAGAAGCAGCAACCCGCTGGTGGTCAAGTTGCCGCCAAAAGTCGAACAAATTGCTACTACCACTACTGAAACAGATTATATAGAAATAAAAAAAATATTCCTCATACTTTTATTACCTTTTAAGTTTTAGGGCTCCTATTGAGGGTGGGACTCCGTCTCGGTTGATTTTAATTTCTTGACAGAAAAATGTAATAAATGACATAAACTCGATCCGGGATTTGAAAACATGTGATGTTGACATTTGTGACGACGTATTTTAAAAATTAAAAACGTAGCCATAATAGGTATTGTCTACTCCTAAAATTACAGAAACGATTTAAAAAACGTATATCGTTGTCATAATTTTAAAGACTCGATTATATGCAACATAAAAAAACCCAAAATATGCAATCATAATATAATATAAAATTTGTTAAAAAAATTATAAAAAAGGCCAAAATATGCATAATGAAATAATAAAAAAGCAGTATTTTGAAATGTTTTTTTTTACTTTAAAAGCTATTATTTCTCAATGATAAGAATCACATTTGCAAAAATATCCAATACTTCTGTAGACAAATTGTGTTTACGATCGCTTTATACATTTTTGTAAGCGAAAAGGATCATTCTACGTCCACTGGGGTGAGTGGGCAGAATTTAAATTTGAGAGCCATGTTTGGACTTATTGTGCCGGGCAAAATTTCACTCGCCACGTTGATGAATCTATTTGGCATAAGAGTTCAAACCCTGGGTTATTGCTCAGTATGTTTTGATACTTATCTATGAGTTTACTGAGGTTATTGAGGAGTTCATAAGACGAAATTTCTTCATAAACTGAATATCTAGTCAACGCCAAAGCATGAGTTTCAAGAATTATAATACTCGCAGGTATGTGGGCGAAATTAGTGCTTATCGCAGCTAGGAAATCGAGCAAAATATGCATGATTCCAAAAAAATTCTAAAATATGCAACTATCGCTGAAAAGTGGTTAAATTAGCAAATGCATATTAATCCGGTCTCTCATCATTATCATTACTGCTCATCACCAGTCCACTGCTGAATATAGGCGTCCCTTAAGGAACGCTACAGGGGACGGTCCTGAGCCATCTAGTATTGTAGTCTAGTACTACTAAAACTGGCAAGCCAGCAAATGAAGCATGGATTAACTGCTTTTTTTTTACGGATATTATCGCATGCATTTTAACTTGCAGGAGCTCCTGCGAATGTTGAAAATTAGATCATTTTATTTAATCGTTTAATATCTATAATTTTTTTCGTTTTTTTAAGTCCACTGCTGAACTGATAGGCGTCGCCTGATATTCCGGATATTCGACATATTTCCACGTTTGGCTGGCGTTCTAGTAACTGCAGTTTTTATTTATTTAAGTTGTCAACATACAAACGCTGCCGCCTATATCTCTTTTTTATTACACACTGTCGCCTCTTACAATACGCACGCGTTGATTTGATATGAGGTCATTTTTTTTATTTGAAATTAAAATTATGCTTGCAGTTCATTCCAAGAGTACCTTCTGTGTTCGGAGCAGACGGTACAAAGATCATGCGGCGATGAAGCGGCAATGTTCACGAGCACTTTCCTTAAAAGAATGGCTTCCAATATTATTAAGGTATTTCGAATATTTTTTGAATACTTGCGATAGATAATTTTTAAATTTAATTTATTGAAAATTTTTAAGTAAGTTATTAACAATAAAAAAGTAAAATATACACAAGTGTTAGCCAGCATGAACTTAGAAGAAAGGGCGGATAGAGTCTCGCTAAGAAACAATTGACGCACCGCAATGGCGGCCGCGTAACTATGTGTGAGTAACTACGCGAGCGTGGTTTGGAGCGTAATGGCGGGCGGTAGACTTACTATGGTGTGCATGTGTGCGTGCGCCGGCTTGTTTGTATTAGCGAACTGACTTACTGTGGGTGCGTCAGTAATTGTTTTAAGAGACGCCATCCGTCCTTTTTTCTAGATCCATGTAAGCCAGGTCTACAATTGTAAACGCAAATTGAAAACTATAAAAATGAATAGGGATGACATTTCTCAAAGTCACTTCATACGACTACTTATCGTTGATTTCATTAATTTGGCATGGTGGCTTGTGTAACTCTGCAGATCAGCCGCGGAGTAGCAACGTCGAAAGTGTCAGCTCGAGTATATAGGTACCATTCATTACCATTACAGCCTATAAAATTCCACTGTTGAACATAGTCCTCCCTCATAGATTGTCTCATGGTGGGATTTTGCCATAGTTGCCACGTTTGGTAAGCGAGTTGGCAACCGCAAATTTTTATTATTTTGAGTTGTTGTGAGGTATTGTACATGCTGCTGCCCATCACCCGTTTCATTTTCCTTCCGTCGCCTCTTACGTCACCCTCAAGACGATATGGGATGGTTGACATTCTTACAACGCCACTACACTGTTATTACTGGTACGTACATTGTACAGTGCTTGGTAATTTAATCCAGGCGTGGTGGATTAGCTCCGAACTTTTACAGGCTGCTAGTGCAAAAGAAGTTTATAATATAAGTAACTATAAATAAAAGAAGTTTATTTTCAATACCAGCTTAAAATAGTAGCTAACGCCGCTACTATTTTAAGCTGGTTTATGATGAGTGTAGAGAACCGGAGAACCTTTTTACTGGAAATAAGCCATTCCTTCAGAGGCCTCAAGGGTGATAACTGATAAGCTGATAACGCATCTGCATTTCGATTCTTAATCGAGAATAATTGTTGATGTCTATGGGCTTGCTGGTTCTTCCCAGGACGGAGGTTTTTTCCGAACCAGTGCAATGGTAATTAAACAAAAGAGTGCCTTTCAATAAATGTGATGTGATCTATATTGAATAAAAAAGTTTCTGTTTTTGGTCACAGCATCCACCCACCATCAGATGGACAGTATAATCGTTTGTCACCTTTATTCTATTAAAAAGAAGTTTGACGATCGCTATCAATCCGATTGTTAATAAGTGTTCCAAGAAGCTCTTGGCCAGTTTCTTGGAACACTTATTTAACGAATGCTCTGTCGCCTCTTACATCACTAACGGGATTATATAAGGTAGTGAGTTTTATTACGCTATCACTACATACATGACTACTGTATTGTATTTTTTTTAATTTAAAATTTAAAAACACGTTTGACGATCGCTGTCACTCCGATCATACATAGTTAATAGCTCTTGGCCGGTCTCTTGCAATATTTTCAAATAAAAATTCCGAATGCTAAAACTGCGTAAATTATTTTATGATGTCGCAAGCCCACGCACAAACACAAAAATGCAACTATTTTAGATCAGAGCTTAAGTTAACTGCCGTGTCCGAGAGATAAGGGAGGCAATCACTATACTCTCATAGGAGTTATAATTCAAATTTAGGAGTATAGTTATATTCAAGTACTGTGACTACTAATTTATCGATTTATCTATTCAATTGAATCTAACCACTCACTAGCAATTACTTTAGTACCATTGTTTACATATCTGTGCCATGGAGGCCTTTTAAATTGGACGTCAAACATCATCGTTTGCGTGATTAGGGTTCGCGTCGCGGCAAAACTTGCCAACTTGCCAATGCCATAACGAGATGTCGACAACCATCACCTATCTCATTAGCGGAATTATCAATATTTAACTTTTATGGACACAATCGCATAAAATTTTGTGGTACGCGTGCAAACAGGTTCTCCTACTGTTCCGCTGACAATAAAATTGTTAACCGCAGTATTAAGTCCCTATTTACCATGCCTGGCGGTAAAAGAAAACCAGAGAAAACATCGTAAGGAAACGCTAATATGAATATTAAAAAAAATTCGAGAATATGTGAAGTCTCCTTGCGTTTAATTTGGATAACGCGGTGGAGTGTACTCTGTTTTAAAATCCTCATAAATAAGTAAAAAAGCTGTGGCCAATAGAAAGACTTGTAATGTATTACATATTTGACTCTAACTTAACTTTTTATAGGAACAGCAAGCAAGGCTCATTATTGCAGAGACCGGTTATGAAACCGCTTCAAAATTATGAATATTAAAAAACTCCCGCCAGTATTTTATTGTGGTATTGCAATGTACGCGTGTAAACGCAACGTCTGATTTATGATGCTCGTTGAAGCGTAAAATTATGTTTTCATTGGATTTATTTTAATTTTGCAGAACTTCTGTCTCGAATATCGTGGACAGGAATGCGGGCTGCCTGGTAAGGCGACTCGAAGCCAACACACGGCGACGTTAATTGGCTTTGCAATTTTAATGCAAATAATTTATAAAACTGGCAACTTAGTTCCGGCGTAAATTTTCTTCCAAATCTGCAGTTAATTGAAGAAATGGAATTTTAAAATTAGAACTACGAGGTAGAGAAGCGTGGCTTCCAGTTATTAGAAGGTCAGCAGTTCGTTGCTACTTTAAAGTTGCAATGTTTAGTGAAATGTAAATAATTAATGCAGTTAAAGTGATTGTACTAGTTCCTTGTGTAATATGAATCAATTATTGTATTTACTAATTAATTGCCTATGTATCTACTGTTATGAAAGTCAATATCCGTTAAGTTTTATGCTATTATGAGATACCTTATGTAATTAAAATGCAGATATACGTTCGTTATAAATGATGTAGAAATTGTCATGTTTCAACTTTTCACCTAAATTGTTAAAGTACAAACCTATTAATCCCTATTCCAACATAAAATTGCATCACAGATAATTATTATTCTTAGGTATTATAAAACCGTATTTTTTGTACTTATAAGCATAGTCTGTGTAACCTTTAATCAAACTTAATTATTATAATATGTCCGATCAATATTTTGGTCCAATAGCTTTACTAAGTTTCGTATTTGTTTATTTTAGAAATAATATTCGAACTTTGTCTTGTATAAATCACACCGTATCATGGCGACGTTGGTGTATTATAATCATCGTCAGACTGTTATAATCTATTGCTAGTCCCTAGTGCTGAGACCGGTGTTGCCAACATTGAAATCTAGCTCCCGTTGTAGAGAACACTATAATCCCGTCAAATCCCGTCAAATACGGTAGACAAGTGTCAATCATTCATTTCTAGTGACCAAATCATTCTAGTACATTTACATAGTAACGCGTACTGGTACATTCGGATCGATCATTCAATTGGATCACTTCGGGCTCCATTACTCCATTGAGTCTGTGAGATCCATTGGGAACCGAATATTTTCTATTTGAGATTTGTAATAGCGCCATCTACTACATGCTATAGGTAAAAAGTCATTTTATCGAACTAAAACTTATTGACTTTCAAGGATATCACAGGTTCACAGGATATGTGACTCAAACAGTAAACTTGTACTTGTAACAGTGTACTTATTGTACATTTTTGCGTATTTTTGAACTAAAAAATGAATAAAATTATGATTTAAGTTTTGCCATTTCTAAATTATTTTTATTTCGAAAACAAATCTACAAAAACATAAATTTTTGTGGTCCCGTTAAAAAAATCCGTTAGCCGATAAACACAATTTTTTCCCGTTGCCAACCTCGCTGTCCCGTCAAATCTAACGGGAATCCCGTCAAGTTGGCAACACTAGCTGAGACCTCTCCAGCTGTGCAGAGGATTTGACATAATTTTTTGCTCCTCGATATTTTATATCTGTTCTGACGTAACCTAAAATTGTAACAGCGCCATCTAACCATAGTCTCTTTCAGAACCAAACTAAGATATGAACTGATAATTCATAATAAGTGTAGTGTTCGCGTAAATATAAGAAATCATTCTGATAATTCATGTTTATTAATTTAAATTGGAACTATTTTAAATTAACTAAATTAATCTCGTATTGGCAAATTTATGTTTTTCAAATCTTTACAAAAAATTGTCACCACATTAAGTAATATACTATTTATTATAATTTTAAGCTAAGCTCAGAACGTTCTGTGATAATTTGTAAACTTATATTCAATTTGATTGATTAAAATATTAGCCATCACTTCATTATTTCTCTATAATATGTAAGTGTTCGTTATTTCATTTAAGTTATATTGTCATCTTTGAACAATTTGAAGAATAAAAATATTTTTATGTTTTGAATTTTTAGTTGTATGGGCATTTAATTTTAAAAACATAACGTTAAAAAATTAATAGCTAGGCTTGACTACAATCTCACCTAGTGGTAAACAGTAAGTGATGATGCCCAATCTTTAAATGTATTTTAGGGAGACAATATTGATTGCTCACAATATTTCTTTTAGTTTGGTGGATTATGATTCTTGTGTTCAAAATAAGATTTTGTAATCACATTAATAAATTATGAAAATTACATTATGCGTCTTTTTAAGTCCAATACTGAAAAGTTCCTTTCAAGTTTGCGCCAGTAGGTATTCTGTAATTGAACAATTTTCTTCTACTCGCCGCACTTGGTAAACGATAAACCTGTAGTCGATAGATATCCTTCTGCGGTCTGCGGGTAATGTTAATCTATATGATTAGTTTAAAATTTTGGCTTAACGTTGTTTTGTATATTTTTCTCGAACAGTCTGTCGCCAAAGTCTCTTTTGACGTTAAACACTATGCAGCGTATAGGACAGCGTCCATTTTGTTTCTAATATACGGAAACTCAGTTCTAAGTTGGAGTTGTCCAACCGCGTCACACGGCAAGTCGCTCAGGCGAACCGCCAGCGCAGCTGTTTGCTAATGCGTATGAACACTAAGACGGAATGTCTCATAAATGTAACGAAACTTATTTCCTATTTACTGTTATTCTATTCAATATATTAATTTATCTTCTAAGGTGAGATAGAATTTGGAGAAATGTATTTTCCTCGTAACAGTTTGCCACTTATATATGAGTCAGTGTTTAACTAAGCTCCGTACCTATCTTATATCGTGTCTTAGCGTAATGAAAGCCTATTCATCATAGAAATATTAAATTATATCTATGATATTCATTCATCTATTGGTATTTTCCCACAAATGTCGGCTTCCTAGAATTCGGGTTTTACCCACTGCTCAATAAAAATATTTTACTATATACTATGCCATATAAAGTTAACTGCTTATACATATTAGCTTGAAAATACGGTGTTGTATTGTCCCACAAAATACAATTTACTGTTGTTTATTTTATCTAATATAATCAGCTTTGAATAAATAAAATTAAAATATGTTATTTCAACCAATTGATATTATATTATGATGTATTAAGTTCATATATAATTGTTACACACACGTAGTGTAATAGTTAAAATATTATTCAATGTAAATAGCTATAGATGAAATATGAAAAAGTATATGAAAATAATATTATAATGTATGAAAAAAATCATTCTTTGTATAAGTAATATATTAATAAAAATATCGGTTTTACTTCATAATAGTGTCTTATTATTATTTACATACCTGTTTTATTTTTAAAGCACTATCCATCTCGCAATGTCCTTTCGACTAAAAGGACAAAAGAACTACGGTTGTAAAACAACAGCGTTTAGTCTTTAGAAAAAGTCGAAACAAAACTTGAAATAACTAATTGGTAAGTATAGAGCTATTAGATGCTTACATTATTTTTTGTTTTGTTGAATGTTCTCGAATTTGTTTTGTAACATTTTTAGGAATTTACAAACAGCTCTTTCCATAAGTTTTGTGGGCTATAAAAATCTACCCCATAATATCTCTGGGTGTCTTAAGAGGCTACAGAGGTAAATTAAGTCGGAGATGAGCAGCAGCATGCGCCTCATATAACTAAAAAATAATAATAATAAAAAACGTGGCAACTATGGTAGATATCTTTTAGGATTTGTAGGTTCGTAGTAGAAACATGCTGCAGCTATATCATTAGTATAGTTTTAGCACGAATGGGTCGGCTCTACCGAGGAAAGGACCACCCTCTCACAGAAAACCAGCATAAATAGAGGCTTAAAAATGTATTTTGTATGGTAAGTAGAAAACCGGAGCACCTTTTACTGGATACGATGTATTCCATCTTAGTCCTCAGGGGTGAAAATAGAACTGCATTTTTATTTTTAATTGTGGAGGTGGACTGTCGTCTGCTCGTTTGTCACCCTTACTCCATAGAGCAACACAGGCCATCAGCGGATCGGAGGGATGTAGACATACGCGGGCATTCCCTTCTGTCAAAGTATAAGTCCACGCGGTCCTATGCGTACAAATAAAACTATTTGCAGCCGTACTGCTCACTAGACTAAATCTAGTTGCGCGGTTGATCGATCGACGTCCTATGAAAATGCCGAATTGCATTTTTTTTGCGGCAAAAAGAGATCTGCCTCGTCAAATTTACAAAAGATGGGCGTTACATGTTTAAATAGGTAATTTTTAATCACATTATTGCTATTTAATTCGTTTTAAACTTTGCTTAGGATCTGATTTGTTTACCAACACAGACCACTCGCCCTCATACAATATGCAGATCGCAGATACAATATACAGCGACTGATGCGAGCTTTGATTATATAGACAGCTGTGTATAATCAAAGGATGCGAGTCTTTATTCGAGTTGTCGCTGTCACAGAACGATACTGTTGTAATGTATCTATGTGTGTGTAAAATTGAATTTAACATTAACATTAGAATATGTATGTTGACATAATATGATGGACGTAATTGCTATGTGTATCACTGCGCATCACTTATTTTACCTTTAATTAATGATTGAATATGTACATTAAATTTAAATTATAACATTGACATTCTAAATCATGACATTGAGAATTATATAAATTACATTTAATAAGTCGACATTTTAGAATCTACTACGACCTGTATTTGTTAATTTTGAAAAGATTGCATACTTACTGTATCTCATGGCTAAATACATTTATAAGCAACTTATTTTTACTGTAAAAACATAAAACTTACATTTTTATAGCAAATAAAGGAATTTGAATTTGAATATAGATTACGAATTAAAACTTTATACGTGGCAGAGCCATGCTACAGTTATATTTGTATGGTTGTAGCACGAATGGGTCGGCTCGACCGGGGATGGACCATTATTAACGCGTTATATGGAGTGGCCACACATGAACGGTGAACGTTAATGCACAATCTTGGCAATAAGATTGACGTTAATGTTCCTTTAAGGAAGATGGACATTAACGCTGTTACACTGTATTTTATGAGTGTGAATTTCTATTATCTTAATATATGTAATTTAAATGTCACCTTGTTTATTCACGATGGACTCCTAAACTACTTAACCGATTTTAATCAAATTTGCGCACCATGTGCACTTTGGTCCAACTTGAGAGATAGGATAGTATTTTTGCCCATGAGTAACTCACAAGATTTTTTTGCGAATTAAAGGATTT